CCAGGGCGCCCTCGCCGCCGCCCCCCCACCCTCCTCGCTTCTTCCCAGCCCCTCCTCGGCACCCCGAGATCTTCGACGGACGCGCTCCCCCGTCCGGGATGGCCGCCCCTCTCAGCCCGCCCACCCCGGCCCCGGGACCCCGGCCCTACACCTCAGGGGACTTGTCCCACTCCCGCCTACCTCCTGGTAGGATGTGGAGAGTTCCTGCCGGATCATGGCACTGAGCCGAGCTAAGGCGCACCTGAGCCCGCTACGGCCCGGGAGGCACCAGGAGCGAGCGCCGCGGCGCCTCAGCCGCCACGCGGGGATTTGCCGGCTCGGCTCTGACTGAGCAGGACAAGCTCCGAGCAGCGTGGGGGGCGGCCGGGGGGGGGGGAGACCAGGCGTGGCGGCGCTCTGCGCATGCGCCGCGTCTGCCGCGACCGCCAGGACCGCCAAAGGAACGCTGGGAAATGTAGTTCTGGCTCTCTGTGGCCGAGAAACTGCTGCTCTTCTTTTTGGACGCCTCTACACCTCTCACTTCCTCTCTTTGTTGAAGCGAGAAAGAACGGAAAATGAATGCAAAGTGGAAAAAGGGGGTCGGGTCAGCTGAGTAGTAGAGCCTTAATCTGTAACTACAAGAGGAAGTTTGGCCTTACCCTTTATAATCGAAATAAATGTCTAGAGAACATTTTGTTAAAAAGTACTGACATGCACATATGCCCTCAATCCTGCAAGGGGAATACTTTTATTCCTGAGATTCCTTGTTTCCAAAAGGATAGGAGAACAGTGGTGATCAAGGGAAGAGTATTTCATCCAGGAATGGACTTCTAGGGTCTATATTCTTTCCTTTTTTTCTAAGGCAGACACTTGGAATCAGGAGCCCTAAATTCTTAATCTGGCTCTGTCTCTCATGTACACACCTTACAGAACTTGGAGCCCTCCACTCATTGCCTGGGCCCAACTGTCAAACCTTATCTTGCTTCATAGGGCCTGTCAAAAGATATTGGACAACACACATGGCCTGAGCAATGATAGAAGAGGCCTCCAGCCCTAAATGTGTCAGAGCATTGTGTTGGGCCTGTGACTGGATGGCCTTAGGACTCTGTCTTCCTCCTCCCACTATTCAGAATGGTCACTATTGGCTGCTTAGAGCTGGAGCAGATAGAGTCTCAAAGTAACCTAGGACTTCTTCATTTTGAACTTCTAGCCTCCAGAATCTTTTTTTTTTTTGCCGGTCATGGGGCCTGAACTCTGGGTCTGGGTGCTGTCCCTCAGCTCTTCAGCTCAAGGCTAGCGCTCGGTACCACTAGAGCCACAGCACCACTTTCGGCTTTTTCTGTTTATGTGGTGCTGAGGAATCGAACCCAGGGCCTCATGCTTGCAAGGCATGCACTCTACCGCTGAGCCACCTTCCCAGCCCGCCTCCAGAATCTTGACAGAATCCATTTCTTTGGTTTCAAGTCATCCATTCCTAACATACAGTGTCCCTGGGAAGCCAATACGATCTCCCAAGTGTATGTGAACACACTGTGTCCAGCCTCTAGCTCTCCCCAGAGACCTAGGCCCCCATGCCCATTTGCCTATGTTAGTTCTCTGCTGGATGTTCATTCACCTGATAGCAGCAAAGCACAGGTACTGAAAATGTGAAACCTGAGGCCAGGTGCCTGGTTCCCAGTCTTGGCTCTGCCACTTACTAACTTTGTTATCTTAGGAGATTTATTCAGTCTCCCTGGCCCTTACTTACCTCATTTTAATCACAGGAACATTGCTACTTATTCATAGAGCTCTGGAAGATTGAATTACCAGATGTAAAATATTGCTGGGCACCAGTGGCTCACACTTGTAAACCCTAGCTACTCAAGAGGCTGAGGATTGAGGTTCAAAGCCAGCCTAGGCAGAAAAGTCCATGAGACTCATCTCCAATTAACCACCAAAAAGCCCAGGCCCTGAGTTCAAGCCCCAGGACCAGCACACACACACACACACACACACACACACACACACACACACATACTTAGGCTCCATCTGACATATGAGAGTAGTGAATTAGTATTAGTGGTTGTTGTAAGATTCAAAGATAAAAGAAAGCATCTTCCTACTCAAGTCTGTTCCACTTAAGTTCCTTTCATTGAACTGACATTCTCCCTTTTGCTCTAGATCAAACTCAGAATCATCTCAATTCCTCCCTGTCTTCCACACGTACAAATCAGCTAATCCTGTTGACTGTACTTTAAAATCTCTGTCACCACCATTGTGATAAACTGCTAGCATTTCCCATTCATTGTTTTCCATAGACTCCAAGATGGGGCTTGAACTCTGGGCCTGAGCACTGTCCCTGAGCTCTTCAGCTCAAAGCTAGTACACTACCACTTTGAGCCACAGCGCCACTTCTGGTTTTCTGATGGTTAATTAGAGATAAGAGTCTCACAGACTTTCATGCCCAGACTGGCTTTAAACCGTGATCCTCAGATCTCAGCCTCCTGAGTAGCTAGGAGTGAGCCACCAGCACCCAGCAGGGTCTACTTCTAAACCTTGCTGTCCTAGTCACTTTCCCCTTTTACAGGGAGCCTGTGAAAATCAGATCATATCATTCCTCAAGCTCCTCTAAATTGCAAATTCCCAAGATCCTATAGGAACTCTCCTCCAGTCCCCACTTCTCCTGGCACTCTTAATACCACCCACTCTTCCAGCTCTAAAATGCTGAACACACTCCAGGCCCCTTTGCACGGGTGGCTGGCTCCCTGTGCCTTGAATGCTCTCCTTCTAGACATCATGTGACTCAGCCCTTTCTCACCTCTCTTGGGTCCATCTCTAAATGTCAATTATCTTTGATGTCTCCTCCCCACCCTCCTAAAGCAAAGAGTTCCATTGCTTTTTTCCCTTTTCTGCTTTATTTCCTCCCTAGCACATACCACCTTCTAATCAAGTCATTTATTTTCAGTCTCCCTCCACTAGAACGGAACTGCATGAAGGTAGGGTTCTTATGTGGTTTGTTCTCTGCTGTAACCCAGTGCCTCTGACAGCCTCTGGTCATTACTAATTGTTCAAATAACTGCTGATTAAATAATCAAAATGTTTTCACATAGTGGTAAGAAAATAAAACAAGTACGTGTTAAGAAGAGATAGAACAAGTGTGGATGAGGGGACTTATTTATCTGACAATGATCAAGGAAAGGTTCATGCAGAGAGAGAGAGAAGGAGAGAGGTTTTCATGAAACTAGTTACTCTGTGTGTGTGTGTGTGCGCACACGCGCGTGAGAGAGAGAACCTAGACTTGAACTCAGGGCCTCAGTGACTTGCACTCTTGATTGGTCTTTTTTGCTCAAGCTTGCACTCTACCATTCAAACCATATCTCCACTTCTGGTTTGTTTTTTAATATCACAGAGACATAACAAGGTCTAAGTTATTTAATTCACATAAAGGTGCTGGAATCAGAGCCAGGCATAGTAAGTCCCTGTGGGGGTCTCCTTTGCTAGTTCTCCCAACCACTAGATGTCAGAGGGCCCAAAGAACTCTGCATTTTGTCCTCACCTCCTCTCTACCCCCATGCCCTTCCCTGGCAGCCTGCCATGCCTGTGATTTTAAATATAGCATATGCAGAGTCCAAAATTTATATGTCCATATTGAAACCTTCTTCCAATTCCTGTTAGATGTCTAGTATGTATATAAAGCTAAGTAAGCCCTCCTTGATCTCTCCCTCCAAAACCTGTGCCTCCTACCATCTCTCTCATAGCTCAACAAATGGCAATATCTTCTTTCTAATGGCTCTGACTAAAAGTCTTGGAGTCATCTGTGACTCCTCTCTGTCCCTCATCTCCGTATGTCTCCTTGATGAACAGATCCAGTCAGTCACATCTTCAACACATACCTACAATCTACCCACTTCTTACCACCTGTGTCTACCAGCCTGGGGCAAGCCACCATCCTCTCCTGCTTGGATTATTGCAATAGCTTTCCTGCTTCCTTTACAGACAATACCCCAAGATACTTGGTTAATATTTTAACTCTGTTCCATTCACTTCCATTCAAAGTTAAAGTCTCAAGAGAATAAAATAAACTGTGGGGCCACAAGAAAACTACTCCCTCCCTGCCCCCTTACCCTCTTACCCCTTGACTGGCCTGACCTCTTCTCCTAAGGCTCTTCCCTCCAGCCTCCCTCCCTCCCTCACCTGCTGCAGACTTGTATACAAATATTACCTTCAATAAGTCTTCAGGTCTTCCTGTTTAAAATAGCAAGCCTCCCTTTAATTTGCACCTTGCCTTTCTTTTTCTCTTTAGTATGCATCCCTATCTAACATACTATTTACTTATTTTTCTTGGAATCTGTCTCCCCATAGAATGTAGACTCTAGTGTGGGCCTGGGTCTGTCTTGTTCAGCTTTGTTTCCAGAGACCTGGTACAGGGAATTTCTCCAAACAATATTTTTCCGAATAGTCAGTGACCTTAGATTTTGCACAAATGTTAGCTATTAGAGTTCTTTCAAGGCACACGGTCCTTTGCCTTACCCTTTGGGGGGAAAATATCCTTGAGGACTAGGTGTTTAAATACAAGCGCGGGTGGGGGTGGGGGGAGGGGCAGGGAGGGAGGGAGGAAAGAGAATTGAATTGAAAGTTAGGACCTGCATTTAAAATAGTGTGAAACGCACAGCTACACCGTCCACACGTCGACGGAAGGACTACCATGACATCTGTCCTTCTTTGCCAACTTTCAGTTGGTGGCTTGAGGTCGCGAGCCAGGCTTAGGTCCTACCTCCGACGTTCTCGCCAGTGGGCGCGGGGCGGCGGGGCCTGTGCGGGGCACCGCCGGGGGAGGGGCGGAGGCGGGGATGGGTGTCCCCGCCCTCGGGGCGGCCCTGGTGGCGGGGTCGGGAACGCGCCCTGGCTTTGCGCTGCGGGCCCTGCGCGCTCTCCATGGCGGGCCCCGCGCTGGGGTGGCCGCTGTGGCCGCTGGCAGCGCTGGGCCTGGTTGTGGCGCTGACAGCCGGGGCCGGGCCGGAGCCGCGTCCGGCCGAGCGGGGACCCCCGGTGCGGCTCTTCACCGAGGAGGAGCTGGCTCGCTACGGCGGGGAGGAGGTAGGCGGGCGCGGCGCGGGCCTGGGGACGGGGATCGCGACGTGGGACCCCGGGAAGCGTCCGAGCTGGCCCGGGCCGGGGCCTCGTGCCCCGCGGAACCCCGGCTCGGCGCCGGCCCGGGCCGTCTGGGCTAGGCCTTCTTTGCAGGCCAAGGCCGGTGCCAGGCGTGCAGGCCGGTCCCCGCCTTGCCTACAATCCCCACGCCCCGCTTCTTTTTCCTGGTGATCTGAAAAGTTCCAAAAACTCAGAACTTTAACAACAACCCCCCCCCGCCCCCAACACACACACACACCCATGATCCTCCCTTCCATGATGTCCCAGCACTGTGCCAAGTGTCCTAAAAACCCACCTGGATGGAAGCTAGTAAACCCATATCATCTGTTTTGTGATGGTGGTGGTGTTTCTAAAGTAACATTGCATACCCACTACTATAGCAGAAATGAAGCATAACTGCTAGTCAAACTGTGGGCACACAGCAGGACTTGCATTTTTCTGGCACTGGACAGAATTTAATGTTTTTGGAAGGTTTTAAATATGATTAAGTTATTTATATACTTCGGCCCAGAAATTCCATGTATTGGAATAGGCCTCAGGGAAACATTTCATCCAAAACAATTTTTTAGGAGGTATAATTCTACCATTTATAGTTCCAAAGAGAGGAAGCACCCAAATATTCAACATAGAAGACCAGCTACACAGCAGATATACTGTATCACTGTTAAGATGGGTCCTATGTAGCTATTTGAGAGATAGCCATCTTTCCAATATGTGGAAATATTAGGTGAAAAAAAATGTTACCTATAATATCAACATGTAAAAGAGGGGCTGGGGAGGTGGATCAGTGATAGAGTGCTTGCCTTGTATGCATGAGGCCCTGGGTTGGATTCCTCAGCACCACATAAGAAGAAAAAGCTGGAAGTGGCACTGTGGCTCAAGTGGTAGAGCACTAGCCTTGAGCTAAAGAGCTGAGGGACAGTGCCTAGGCCCAGAGCTCAGGCCCCACGACCAAAAAACAAAACAAAACAAAAAAAAAACCAAAAACATGTAAAAGAGAACACTTACCTTGCCTTCATAGTATGTATCTCCATTGATGATGAGGAAATCTGGACTGAATTGAATCATTGTTTAATGTACTTCTGAAGTTTTATCTGCATAAAGTGGTTTCAGCTCTTGGTTGATTTAAAAGTAAAGGATTGCCCAGTGCTTTCATGCCTGCAATTCTAGCTACTCAGGAGGCTGAGATCTGAGGATTGCAGTTCAAAGCCAGCCCAGGCATGAAAGTGCATAAGACTCCTATCTCCATTAATCAGAGAGCCAGAAATGTAGTTGTGGCGCAAAGTGCCTCAGGCACGAAAGCTCAGGGACAGTGCCCAGGCCCTGGGTTTAAGTCCCAGCACCAGCAATCAGTCAATCAATATAAATGATTGCTGTATTCATGTTATGACATTTCATGAGGTTTTAAGCTTTCATCAGTGGGCGTGGCAAGCTGAGGAGAACCAGGCCTTGATCCTCCTGTGTTTGCACAGCCCATGATGGAAAGGAAAGGTATTACTAACTCAGCTCCTCTTCACCGTTTCTCTCCTGCTTTTTAGGAAGATCAGCCCATCTACTTGGCAGTAAAGGGAGTTGTGTTTGATGTCACTTCCGGAAGAGGTAAGTAGCTTGGCATTTTGAATCTTCATTGCTGCCAAACTCTGAAGCCAGAAAAGGTCCCTTTTTTTCCTTTTTTTTGCCAGTCCTGGGGCTTGAACTCAGGGCCTGAACACTGTCCCTGAGCTTCTTTTGCTCAAGGCTACCACTCTCCCACTTGAGCCAGAGCATTACTTTTGGCTTTTTCTGTGTATGTGGTACTGAGGAATTGAACCTAGGGCTTCATGCATGCGAGGCAAGCACTCACTAAGCCACATTCCCAGCCCCCTTTTCTTCCATTTTAAATGACAAGATTAACTTCATTTTTGTCAATGTTTTATTTCAACAGACTAAGTTTTTTTTCCTATTAATGCAAGGCTGGCTCCTACTCAAAAGCCTTCCATGGCTTTAAAATTCAACTTGAACCGGATGATTCCTCTAGTTGAGCAATGAAACAGTGTTCCTTAGCAATTAGCTGACATCATAGAGCATTATAGAGTATTTTAATGCCATTAAATAATTCCTCTGATTTAACTACACATGATATATACCTGTAGGTGTTTTGTGTTTTGTCCAGTAGTGGGGCTTGAACTCTTGGTCTGGGCGCTGTCCCTGAGCTCTTTTCTCAAGGGTAATGCTCTACCACTTTGAGCCATAGTGCCACTTCCAGTTTTCTGGTGGTTGATTGGAGGTAAGAGTCTCACTGGCTTTCGTGCCTGGGCTGGCTTTGAACTGCAATCCTCAGATCTTAGCCTCCTGAGTAGCTAGGATTTAAAGGCATGAGCCACTAACTCCTGAACTTATACAGGTAGTATTGAATGGATCACCTTTTGTTTGATTCACAAACACTGTTGTGTGAAAATAGACTTGGTTTTCATCAGTATTTAGCCAGACATATTTCTTGTTTGCATTTAATTTTTTGTTCTCTTCTTTCTAAAATCTGTATTTCAGCCTGCATGTAACTTATTCTATATTTGAATTCAAGGATGTCAAGCTGGTGACTGGGCAATATCTTCATTATTTTGTGCGTGCATGCGTGTGTGCGTGCGTGCGTGTGTGTGTGTGTGTGTTCAGGCTTGGAGTTTCTCTTGGAATTGGGTGGGGCCTGGGGTCATGTACACACTCTGTGTGCACACTCTTCCTTCCCTACTGCAGAGTTTTATGGACGAGGAGCCCCCTACAATGCCTTGACTGGGAAGGACTCCACCAGAGGGGTGGCCAAAATGTCTCTGGATCCTTCAGACCTCACCCATGATACGGTGAGCCAGATTATGACCTTTGGTCAAAATGCCCCATGCCCTCAGCTGTGGCCTTTTGTTTCTTGGTTTGTTTTTTAACTTCTAGGCAATAACAAAACTTCCTAATTAACTTGCATGCCCCCCAGTCCAATAGATCGTCCTGTTTTAGGCCTACTCAGAAACCTTCCACGGTGAGTCAAACCCAACCTCCTGTGAATTTGTGATCCAACTCTGTGGTCTTCACTTTGGTCCTAAGCGTTTTATGGTCTACCCCCACCACTCCCCAGGCCACTCTTGGTCACTCAGTGGACTAACGGGGGAGATGCAAGATCTCCCGCTATGCTCATATTGATATGAAGAAAATATTGCATAAAAAGTAATCTCCATAACAAGCCTGGCATTTCCCCAATGTGTGCTCTTCATCACATTGACAGTGGGATAAACGCTTAAGTCACAACATTATAGAAATAAGAAATGAAGAAAATAATGAAGTACCTGAGCTAATTAGCTGATAGAGCAGAAAGGTTTATTTTCACTTACTATTTTGGAGGTTTCATGATCAATGATGACAATGATGAGTGTATTTGGCTGAGAAAAACTGTTTACATCATGATCAGGAAGCAAAAGAAAAGAGGGCTCTAGTGTACCCCGGTTGTCTTTGAATGTATGACCCTAATGACCATATCTAAGGACCTTCTGCTCAGCTCTACCTCTTAAACATGCCACCAAGTCCCAATAGTGCTACACTGGAGATCTCTAGTCACTTTTAACACGTGAGCCTTTAGAAAAGGGGCATTCTAAGCTGGGTGCTGGTAGCTCACACCTGTAATCCTAACTACGTAGGAGTTTAGGAGCTGAGGATCAAGGTTCAAGGGCAATCTAGGCAGGAAAGTCCATGAGACTCATCTCTCCAATTAACCACTGAAAAGCTAGAAGGGGAGCTATGGCTCAAGTGGTAGAGCTCCAGCCTTGAGCACGAAAGCTCAGGGATAGCACCTAGGCCCTGAGTTCAAGCCCCCAGTATTGGCACAAGAAATTTCAAAAAGGACATTCTAGATCTAAAGCATATCAGGAAGTATACATAAATATGCAGTAGGAGTCAGAGGGTGGCAAGAATCAAGCAGGAGGAGACAGGTGCAGATAGCAGAGGGCACCCAACCCCACCCCAGAATGGTTGTTCTCATGGAGACTTCAGTTTCTGCACCAGTCAGGCAGGAAACAAATGAAACCATTGCTCTCCCCATGTCATCCCCACCAGCACACACAGGGTTCTCTCTTTAGAAGTGTGCTGTCCATGATTTGCCTTATTAGGATAACCTTTTTCTTTGCTTGCATTCAGAGTGTGGAGACGGTAAGGCAGGGATGGAGAAAGGCCAGTGCCAAACATATTCATTCATCTTCACCCCTCGTTTCTTGGGCCTTTCTTCCCCCAGACGGGGCTCTCGGCCAAGGAGCTGGAATCCTTGGATGACGTCTTTACCAATGTATACAAAGCCAAATACCCCATCGTCGGCTACACCGCCCGGAGGATTCTCAATGAGGATGGCAGCCCCAACCTGGACTTCAAGCCTGAAGACCAACCCCATTTTGACATAAAGGACGAGTTCTGATGGTCTGTCTGCAATAGGAGACTTGTGAAAGGGCGAGACAGGGGCACAGATAATGAATCTCCTGCCAAATAGGCTTTTAAAAGCCTCTCAGTCATCCAGATGTGAATAAAGCAGACATCAAAGCTAGAAGAGTGACTGCTTTTCATTTTGCTGGGTCCAGTGTGTTGGCTGCCAGCGTGTCTCTGCCCACACAGCAACACAGGGTGGTCTGTGGGAAGCGTCCTCCATATCACCATTGCCAACTAGGGAATGATCTTTATTTCTTTATGCTTTTCACAGCTTGCCAGATTTTCTGCCCTGATCACGTTTACTTTATAATAAAAGACAAAAACAAACTTCCTATTGTTACAAAGGGAGAATTTG